GTTTTGTTTTCGAGTTGACGCACGCCATTCTGGTAAAACATGAAAAAAATAAGAATTAACAAAAACATGCTGATACCGAACCAATTATGGAATAGCCATAATTGGGTACTGTGATCTGTCCATATTTGGATTTTTCAAAGATTTCAAACGACATCAGATTTTTATATTTAAGAAAGCAATACATCTAATACCGCTAAAACATACAAAGACGTCTAAACGGTCTCTAAAAGCTATAAAATCAATACTGTGCACTTTCTTTACGAAAAATACGATTTTTACATACCTTAGAAAGTATGTTTAGCGACAAAACAAAAACTGTCACAACGACGAAGCTTGCCGAACAGCTAAATTTATGCGTAAACGGGGTGAAGGACAGAAAATAATTTTTATTGTATTGTCTTGGGAAATAGGGTTCCATATTAGGGATATACCCATATTTGGTACTTTCCTCTACACAAAATATTTTAAGATTTAAGCAAAAATGGTTAGTCCTAAAAAATATTTTTTTCCCGTCTGCTCACAACTATAGAGATAAATAGAAATAATAAACATTATTTATATATATTTCTTTTACTTACAAAGGCTTAGACTACTATTTTACAGTGTAATCGATTTTTTAAAATATACCCGGGGCTAGTTTTCTTTCTGACAACTTTTATAGGGCTAAGCAGTGTCGGACTAGTTGCTACAGAGTGAGGCTTTCATCCCCGAGGTAGTACGCTAGTTCGGCCGTACCAATGGACTTTCTGTATATATGTCTCGCATCTAACACTCGCGTACGGTGACGGAAAATATAGTCAGAGGCTAATCAGCTACTTGTCTATGACATAAAAATGATTTAATAAACGAATGCAACCGATCATATATAGTGTTGTAGTGCTGCTGGTTTTTTATTATTTCAAGACATAGAACAGTGAAATGATGCAGTTACACCGATTTATTTATAAAAAAAGCGGTGTGTACTTATGTAAGGGTGCTACACGCGTTGAAGTTATACTTGTTTGGCATAACAAAATAAAAAATCTTTTTAAACATTTTATCTTTCGCTTTGTTCTACGTTTGTAGAAAAAACGACACTAACAATAGAAAAAACTAAAATGTTGCTGTAGCTAACTTCAGGGTGTCGGTTTTTTAAGACGGTGTGCGCGCGCATCGTAAAAATTTACTCTCATAATTTTTCCCTAACGCGCCAAAAGAAGTATAACTTCATAAATATTAAAACAATTCGAAAGAATAACATTAATGTCACGAGAAACGCCTAGTCCAAGAATCTTTTAAGTAAACTACAATTATGGAGACAATTATATTTTTTGTCAGAGCTATACAAGGACATGTCATTTACTGACGATTATTGTAATAAAGAAAATTAGTGCTTATGCACAAGCATAAGAAATTTTATTACCTGAGCGAATCAATCAGGAACATATGTTAATAGTTTCGTTTAATCATTTATAATTTTTGCTTTGCAATTCAGTATTTTATGCTAATAAATGTTTGTTTTCTGATTACGAAAAGGTTGTGTATCCATAACAACGTCGCAAAATATCCATTGAAAAACATTACAAGATTGTTTAACCTTGTCTAAAACTAAATATGTAATACAATTAATTTCTGAGCGCAAAGGTTAAATGTTTGCGATAAATTCTACTGGCTTTTGATACGTAATTCATCATATCTAATACCTATTTTATCTTACTCCTACACCAAAAATGTATAGGATTTTCAAATACGGGAGTCATAGTTTGGGATAACTCCTGTTTCTATATCTCACCCTAAGACGTAAGGACTATATATAAAAAAGCTCAGGTATACCGTGGAAACGGGCTTCCAGCATCTTGTGTAACAAGAAAAATATTTTATTCTGAAACCGTGTGACTCGGCACCTAATGACATAATATCGGTGGTAGCTACCGAGAAACAGTCTAATCGTTTATAGGGAACTTCCAAATTACACCCAACAGAGACAAGGACGCTGAGGTCACTAGGCTTATCATTTTGTAACTAATCATCATTGCCATTTTGGATTTGGTCGAATTTTGATTCTCTCTATAATTTACCAGTTACATATTTGGTCTCTGATTATCTTTGAGAATGTTGAATTGATAGTTAGCTCATGAGAAATAAATACAAAGTGTCGTTCTGAATCATGCAGGCTCGGATGCGCGAACGACATAGGTTATACCATTATTTAATTACTTATTTGTGTAATAGGAAAATGTTTTAAAGAGATATTACAAGTAGGTAGATGAAAAACGTCATTTCTAAAAATTTTGACTAGCGAACATACCAAATAGCTACGTAGGTATACAGTCGTAGACAATTTTTATCAAGGCGATATTCCAGTCTGTAAGATAATCTTCGATCAATACAAAGCCGCAATGTCTAAGGCAATTCCCAAAAGAACACTCGCTCACTAAAACTTTCTAAGCAGCGTATAAATAACGTTCTACTACGCTCAAATTGGGCTCGCGTACAAAGGGGCTTAAGTGTATCGCAAACGTTTCAGTTCGATGAGTGTTCATGTTTGTTTGGTACAAGCCGAATTCGCATCACGTCGTCAAAATACTCAAATCGAGATAAAAACTCCCTGTAGGAGGTCGTAAGCGACCGTTTTACCGGACGACTTTAGTCTTTAAAGCGACCGCTTAAGGCGTGTTTTAGGATGAGTTCGGCGGACAACAATTGAATCAGTTCACGCAGCATCAAATCACTAAACCACGGGGCGGAGCGTAGTCTCCGCTGGGGCTGGGAGACAGAGATGGGTGATCTACCTTTCATATCTCGTATCTAGAGTTGGAAAGAGACAAGTAGCGTCTCAAGATGTCTTGAGACGGTCGAAAGCTCGAAGCTTTGTAACCCGCGGCGAAATAAAAGAGTGTCATTGAGCAGATTGCCTCTTATTCAACACTTGACAATTAAATAAGTGCTCTTGAGTGTTCGCTCTCGGAATAACCCGTCACAATATATGATTAATGGGGTCTGAGAGGCTTTCTATCAAATGTCAGCTACTGATAATTATTATGAACTTAATAACGTTGAAATAAAATATATTCGTGTATCAAATGATAAGTGTCTCGTTTTATTATATCAGTATGTTTATTGATATCAGTAGTTTTTCTTTATAGTACGGTTTAATTTATTATTAAATCATTCTATTAAAAAAATCCTACTTTACAAACGTATACTTATTACTTGGTACATATAATTTAAATAAATGAAATGATCGTTTTGTGAAGTAGGTAGGTATTTATTTTATTTATGACTAGTACCTACTAAGATAAGTCTTTGGATTGTAAAAGATTATTACCGCTATACCGGATAAATTATTTTATCATCAGTATTAAATCGTAATGAAATCAAACAGTCCTTGTTTTTTTGAATAAATTTTCAACACACTAAATAATAATAAACTCGTTTTATTGTCAGTTTATAAATTAATCTTGTGACTTGTCATTCATTAGACGCCTCGAATTTTTACAAATTAAAATTAGTATACGCAGCCGTCGTAAAATTTTTATTAATACATAAAAACGTAGGGAACATCTGAAGCCCTCTCCATTTACATTTAATAAAATTAAATGATGCATTTAGAGAAATTAATTAACGGGAGTCAGTGAAGCGTCTTGCAACCGCAACCCTCGAACAATGGCTTCCCCGATATTATAAGCTCATCCCTACACAATAATAAAAAGCTCACTTGATAACAATGACAAACCACTTCGGAACTAATAGACAACTGCAGGACGGAATTTAATTTCGCTACGCAGGGGAGTCGCACTCCAAATTGCTTTTATGGCGTATTGATGAAATAAATTATGTCAAAGTGGATTTTGTACAACCCTATTAGACAATATAAAAAATATGCGAAGTCCCAATTAATTTGGCATACCTACTAAAGTATAAAAATAGTGAATATAGCTGACATTTTTTTTGGCCACAGTCCGCCATAGTTATCTACGTTATGCAGTTTTGTTTGACGGCCATATAAATAAATAAAAAGTATATTTTTGGAACAAAATAATTCGGATAATTTATAAAGATGGAGTAATTTAAATGGAATTGGGCATTAAATCGTAATTTTTTCTACTTTTTTTTGTTTCGGATAAGATACAGTACAATCTGAATATCATTATGTAAATTCAAAAGCTATTTATTATTACAATTCATGACTTTTAGTGAACGATAAAAGTTTCGACCGGAAACTTGAAAGATAAAATAAGATAATTCGCAAATCCACGATTCATTGGGTTAAACGCTTCATTTGGTTTCGGCAATAAAACGTGATAAATGAAGCAAACACATAAGATTTAAAAAACAAATTTATACGAATCTACCCCTTCATCATATATCAAATTAAATAGTTACCGCATCAGCGACTATGTGAGTGCTTAAGACGTTTTGTCAAATTTTATTTATTTATTTTTTATTAGCGTCATCTCTTTTGTATTCTAGAGTGGCCTGTGACAAATTTGATCACGAGGGTCATTCGAAGGGTTATGATCTATAGGTTTAAGGGTAATAATAATTTTAAACTCCATTTGAGTTTACAATGTGTGAATCCTTATTTGTACTAAGTTATCCAAATATTAAATGATCCGTGACATAATGGTTGGTTTGACTAATATTTTTGTCAGCTTGGCTAATGTGCGGGATCTTTTGAACCCTGATTTTTTTATAATGCTCTTCCAACTTACTGCTCGCTTTGAAGCTCATTTGTTTTTAAATACATATATTATAATTTTAATTAAAATAACTTCGTTGTTTAAAAGTTTATCTGGTAGTAGAATATATTGAAAAAAAAAATAGAAATTCTTATAAAATTAGGTTAACAATTAGCTAGTCTTAATCTAACTCTGATTACTGATATAAGCCTCTAAAAGGTACTAAATATTTTGTCTTTATCACTCTTACGTCATTTGGAATAATAAAAAACGTAACAAAATATAGCTAATTGATGTGACAGTCCAGATTAATATTTTTATTTAATCTTTTTTTAATAGGACAAAATGGAAACGACAAACGGCGGTTGGGTTGGAACTTCTAGCAGAAGCCGGGAACTATGCAGCCTTCCAGCGACTATACGGTGGTTATTGGGCGGGCGTCCCAGCTTATCCCGCCCAGCCGGCGCCCACCGCTGATATGTATTACAGACAGGCGGCTGCTACTGCAGCAGCTGCGGCATCTGCATCAGCAAATACGCTGCAGAAACCTTTACCCTATAGGTAAGTTTACACTTGAAGTTCTCTACTCCGTATCCAAGTAAAAGCACCTATAGACTTCATGACGTTGGTTTTATTTTTCAAAAAGTACGTATGCTCTATATTAAACTTAAAATATTATTATTTATAAAAAAACAGTTTGTCTGTGTTTAGAATATATTGTCGCGAAGATGAAAATTGCGCGCGCGTGGAGTTTCTACGGAGCGTATAAAAAAATATATCGGCATTTAAACGTTGTCAACTGGTTGGTTATAAAGCATCGAAATTTAGCTTGTCACCAGAGTGTTTTAGCAATTTTTTTGTAATCAATGTTAAAAAATCAAACTAAATTTAATTTTTGTCAATAGGTTATATCCCGGTACGCCGTTAGCTGGCGTTCCCCCTCTCGGTCTAGGGCTCCCTGGCCCTTCAGCCCACCTTGGCTCCCTGGGGGCGCCAGGCCTCGGAGCTTTGGGTTACTACGCCCAAGCCAGACGTACTCCTTCGCCCGATGTCGATCCGGGGAGCCCTTTGCCCCCTCCCAGATCTCCCGTGCCGTCCGAAAGACGATCCGATGACGAGGACGACGATGAAACAATTCACGTATAAAAGTGATAGAAAACTTTCAAGTGACGGTACTGATCCGTGTGCATAAGTGTTTGACATTGACGCAGGACGTTAAATTTTGTGATATTATAAGCTCAGTTTTATAGGTTAGATGTATATTCATTGATGTTTAGCTATAGATTATGCTTAGTTTTAATATTGAAAAGTTCTAAACGAAATTTTCTATTTATTTCTTAAATTATAATTATTTTCTGCTTTCGGTACTCAAACTTAAAGATGTTGAATTAAAATATGTATGAATAACTGATGTTAAGTGAGGTACTCAGTATAAATGGTGTAAATGATACAGTTTTCGGGTCCTTTTGGTTTATTAAAATCAGTTACAAATAAAATTAAATGTAAATTACACTAATAAAATAACTTGTGTATAGTATTATAATCTATTGTTGGTATGAAATACACATAACACGACAAAACTTTAAATTTTTCTTTAACTATGTTGTATTTAGAGATAGAAAAGACGTATTATTGTGGCAATGTACTTAAGCAATCCCAGATGTGACATTTTATGTCAATACATAGATGTGGTGTTTTGTAATTAAAATGTTGTCAATTAACTCGTCGTTTTAATTTTTATTTAAGTTTTTATTTAAGACCGACAATGCATATTCCATAGGCTTATCCTAAATATCAAGAGAAAATAATAAATAGAAACTAATAAAAACTGTCCTTGTGGCAGTATACCTTTAAGGCCCTATCCCAGCACGAATTGCAGTGTCTCGGGGTGGACTTCGGTGCGCAGTGGAGAGCTGCAGCACTGAGGCGCGCCGGCCCGTAATAACAATCAGTTATGTAAAACATTAAATTAATGTAATTTTTTTTTCTGAAAATGGATTACTTGGCTTGCGATAAAATATTATATAGTGTAAATTTCACAAACATGTTCTATATATATTTTCGTCATAAAATGAATTCAAAGTGTCAAAAATTGGCTATGTTTGGATTTTTTTTCTTACCAGCGAAGTTATTTAAATTGTGTATCAACCTTTCAAAATGGATACATAAACTACTCAACTTCACCATATAATTTTTTTAAATTTGCCCTACTTCAAGTAACGATGACAAAAAATCGAAAGAAACCATATACTTTTTTTAGCATTTCCTCGTTGTGTTGCGATAGAAAAACATCAGCGCTGCGGTCTACGGTAATATGTACCAGGTTTCACCTTAAATACTTAATTATAGCCTGTGCACTTCTACCGCACGGCCCACGAGCCTACACCAAGTACTAATTCTAAAGATATGCAGTTCAGTACACTTTGTGTAGCTACGTGAAAAAGTAATAAAACAAAGATCAAGATTTGGCACCTATTATAAATACCAACCTTATCCAATTTATCCACAATGTTAAATATACCAACATATAAATGACTATACGAGTATTGCGCATTTCACACTCGCTAGTACGGTGAAGGAAAACATCGTGAGGAAACGGGCATGTTTCAAATTCAAAAATCGATGACGTGTGTCAGATATAATGCTTATCACCTCTTTGTAATAAAAATTATAAAACGAAGAGCATCTGAGGCAAAGGGATGTATTGGGATGTAGTGCTACTGGATTTTTATTTATTATTACTATGACAAATCTAAACATTTTTGCCTTGCTTTTCGCGTTCACTGTCTATTGTCAAAACCACTCGAAACGTAATTTAAAATGTTTTAAACTTTTACACTTAATAATAATAATAGCCTTTTATTTCAGATACTTTTACACTGAAACACATTTATATTTCTACTGTGTGCCCTACACAGTTACCTAAAAAGAATGAGTTTTGGCTAAGACCTCTCGCCAAATCTCGCCATTTCTGTCTGCACTGTACCACTCTCTGCCATCTACCACCTGCTGTTTCCCTTATTTGGTCAACCATTAATACCGTAAATAGATTAATGTATGCTTACAATCCATTTAGGCAGTTAGCAGTTGTTACAAATACCAAACGGTAGCAATGGCGGTATAACTCCGCTTAGTCACGCCATGTTTCTACTTTCTTACACGTTCTGTGAAATCGTTTAAATGATAAAAAATCATCAGAAGACTGTTGAAGTAATACATTAAGTAATATTTACCTCAGTTGGTGTTATTACAAATTTGTAATTTATTATTTAAAAGGTTTACAAAACTCATAAAATCACGTGTTTCACGTATATTATTACACTATCGTCCCTTTAAATTCAGATGAGTTAATCATCTCATAGTCTTTTTTATTTTTCCTTACTTGCCTGAAGAAATCGTTAAGTAAGAAATAACTGATTATTTTCTATTCAACATTAAAATTTTCCGATCAATTTCTACTATAATGAAATTAAATATTATGACTATCGCAGAAAAAGAATAACACTATTTTTTGGTTTGTTACTACGCGTTCCTACAAAAAGAAAGATCCTGCCTTATGTGGACCTGTGGATCTAGTGCTTTATTTATTATATAAGCAAACCTCAGAACGAATTGAAAACAAAGTTTTATTAAAGCTAGTCGATACAGATAGACCCTTGTTCATAATGATTTAATGAAACGCGTGTCCAATCCAGTTTGGAATAATGAGTATATGCATGGGCTTACATTATTTACATTTAACACCTATCAGAATTAATAAATAATTAATTATAATTAAAACATAATTCAAGCAGTTAGAGTAATATCGCAACAGCTGTATAATAAATAAACTAAAAAGCCTTTTATTTCATGCAAACGGTATGTACAATTATTATTCGTTCTGTTGTCACTATTTCTATATTAGGATATAGGTAACACTGAGAATGTATAGAAAATGAAAAACGGCTTAGTGTAGAATGTTGTTAATGACTCATTATCTCGACACCTGCTATAGTCAAATAAGCATTGTCGTGGTGAAGGAGGATCCTGCTTCGAGGGCGCTGCTGTCGATTTTTTTCCAAGACAACAGGCAAACAGCGATTGACATACCAGTCTGCAGTAACTGTCCTTCCATCTTCTAGCATAACTGTCGCGAAATAGCCTTTCCGACCAAAAAATGAGGTAATCAACTTTTTTCCATGACTTCTTCCTTTATTTACCTTATTTGGCCGATCCTCGAAATCAAACACCCACTGAGCTGATTGTCTTTTGGTTTCGGATTCGTAGCAATATATCCAGCTTTCATCACCTGTGACGATGTTAAATACGGCATTTAAGTCACCGCCGTTGAAATTATCTAACATGGCTACACCAGTTCATGCAAATGTGTTTCTGGTTGTCGGTTAAAGTATAGGGAATTCATCTGGTACAAAGCTTCCTGACGCCTAAATGTTCGTGTAATATTTTTTTAAACTTGCCTCATACCAATGCCTAGACTTGTCCGTATCTGCTGATAGGTCACTCTCTTATCTTCCTTTATCATGCGTCGCACAGCACTGATGTTATCTTCAGTAGTCGCTGTTAAAGGACGTCCCTCATGCGGATAATTGAGATTGCTACGTCCGCGCTTATACTCGTTAAACCAATTGTAAATAGTGGCATGAGATGGGGCTTCATTAAGAAATGCTAATCGCAGTTGCATCGTTGTTGAGTAGGCCCACAACGAAAGTCATAATAAATCATTGACCGAAAATTATCTCGCGTTAGGTTCATTTTCACGTGTAACAAGAGATTTACATTTGCCGCCAATTCACAAAAACACATGACAGATGAATGCAATATACTATTTTCAGTGTTACCCACGTATATAATAAAGGGGTAAATTATATTTTTGTTAGTTATAATAATATAGATAATATAATAACAAATATTATTATAATTTAACCTACATAATAACTATTACTATAATCTCTATATTAAATATATTCAAACTTATAAGAATAGTAACTACATATAATAATCTGAAAGGAATTTATTAAAAACTAAGAAAAGTAAATAAAATCATATTAAAAGTTTAAGAAACTACTACCTACAAAGTAATAATAAAAATTATTAAAAAGAAAATTGAAACAAATTTAAAAAGTTTGGTCTCTGTGGTCCTTCCTTGTAGTTACGAAATAGTTATAGAATAGATTAAGCAACCTATATCGTTTTTACCTAATCATTAATTTAAATTACTGTTGCGTTTGTTTCAACTTCTAAGCAAGTATTGACAACAATGTAAAGAAGTAACAAAAACAAGTAATCATTGCCGTGAAGTAGGTTATAACTAGAAAGTTTATAATTAAGTGGATTCAATTATTTTTTGTTTTTATTAAGCAGTATTAACATATTGGCAAGCTTCAAGTGATTCTCAAGCTTGAAGTTTTGGTTTTGGACTTCTAGATAGGACTAATAGATTTTTTAAGAACGCAATTTATACGATAAAACAAAACATAGTAAGAAAACAGGTAAGTCCCCACTCGAAATAGGGAAAAAATTATCATGAAAATACATGTAGGAATATGGGGCGCATAATCGTAAGGTTGTAAAACCGCTAGACCTAGCTATGTATAATTTCATGAATATTTTAAATATGTTATAACTATAAAGCATAAAAATATCTTGTCTGCTGTGTCATTTCGTGTTGAAACGGGCTCTACGGATATTATTTTACGACTGAGCGGGGCTAGATTATCATTTAACTATCTTTTGTAGAATACATCTTTTTTACCCTAAAAATGTTGTGTATTTTGACTTAATGTAAATTCGTCACGGACCAGAGGTCATCAGTTAACAATCGTATCGCACGAACTTGAAGGGCTTTCCATGATTTCTTCCATTTTTAGCATAAAACCTATTTAAAAAGCAATCAGTCCGCACTGATTACTGTGCGAGCACGCTAGTGCCGTGTTCACAAAACGGAGCAATTAACAACCCCCCTCCCCCCATGATTTTATCGCAAAACGACCGTTTTCTGGAATCGCCTTAACAAACTATTGCATGTCACGGCTGGCTTCAACAAAAACTAAAAGAAATTTATTAACTAAATATCGCGCTTGACTAATTGATGCAAAGGCCTTTGAGTTCGCTACGAAATTAGAATAATAGAATAAAATTTCTAAATC